TTGCTACACAATGTACATCATGTTTGTAGCATACAACTAGCTACACAATGAACATCATGTTTGTAGCATACAACTAGCTACACAATGAACATCATGTTTGTAGCATACAACTAGCTACACAATGAACATCATGTTTGTAGCATACAACTAGCTACACAATATACATCATGTTTGTAGCATACAGTTAGCTACACAATGTGCTATCTATGTTTTGCCCACTGTTGGTATCAAAACCCAATTTTTATCATTATGTTTTTTGTTTAAGGCTAACAATTCATCAATCATGAAATTCCACTAACTGCCCAGCAATCAAAGAATAATTTATTTACAATGATATGTAAAAATACCAAACGCGAATGTCAATCTTACCTCGAATCTTCTCGTAATGTTTCTGTAATCTTACTAATGTCTTCTTGAGTGATCAAACTACCTGGTCCCATGCTTGTGAAATGGTAGAATATCTCAGCATTTTCAAGCAACAGTTCTTGGAAATTCTGCTTAGCTCGCTCCGTGATATCCATCTGATGTTCCTCATAAATCTCTCGAAGATCAGGTTCCGAGAGGGCTTCAAAACATTCTCTTCCCATAAACAAAACTCGAACTTCAGACAGCGTCTTCCCGGGTGTTACATACCCAGTTTCTTCCAGCAGCTTTTTAAACTCTTTCCTCATCCTACAGTAATGATAAACTCATCTCAACAGTTTTTAATGAACAGATCATGACTGGCAGTGTGAGGTCAAAATTGAAGAAAAAAAGGAGGACGAAGCCTCTCTAAAATCATGTTCTACCTCCAAACCCCATTTAAACAAAGAATCAAGCTTTTAGCATGCTTAAAAATTGTTATCAGTAGAATGGCTGATTCTCCCCCATCTTCCAACTGTTAGTATTTTATTTAGTTTCATAAATGTGTGTGTGTGTGTTTGTGTGTATGTGTATTTTGTGATTAAGTCTTCTTCTCAACATAAAACAATTTAATTCCATAATTAATTTCCCCATCAGTTTTATTATTATTATTATTAAATCAGCTACTTAGAACTTTTGGTTATTTAGTGGAAAGATCATGGTTACAGTTCGATACAGACGTCACTGTACCCAAACCCGGGATGAGGGTGGAAGACATTTAGAACTCTATATGTGCATACATCTATATATCTAAACAGCCATACATTTACACTTGAACTGAAGAACTCATGGTTAGTATAATAACAAGTCCACCCGGGGTGAGGGTGGAAGACATTTAGAACTCTATTTTTGTATATATCTATTTATCTAAACAGCCATACATTTACACTTGAACTGAAGAACTCATGGTTAGTGTAATAACAAGTCCCACCCACACTATCACCTTTCTCAATCATATTTGTACGTCACAAACTGTCACCTTTTCTTTTGTAACATGGTTGGGATGTCATTAATTTTGCAAGAGGGTGTGAAACTGTTTTCATTGTGACAACTGAGGGGATGAAAGAATCATAAAGATGCATGGCTATTACATCATCATCATCATCTATACACTGCCTTCTTGTTAATGTTAACAGAACACACTCCAGCTAACATGTCAATTTTACATCCAGTGGTTAAGGTAAAGATGACAACTGAGGAGTCTGGAGAAGCCAGGTGGAATTTTAAGTTGTCATGACAACTGAGGAGTCTGGAGAAGCCAGGTGGAGTTTTAAGTTGTCATGACAACCGAGGAGTCTGGAGAAGCCAGGTGGAGTTTTAAGTTGTCGTGACAACTGAGGAGTCTGGAGAAGCCAGGTGAAATTTTAAGTTGTCATGACAACTGAGGAGTCTGGAGAAGCCAGGTGGAGTTTTAAGTTGTCATGACAACT